TTTTTTGCCATTTGCTTGTAATCAGTTCCTTGATAACAGTTCTATAGTCAGTATATGGTATTTTTGAGTTTGATAGTTGCTGCTTGCTTGCATTTTTGCTTTGGCGTCTACTTTGTCATTTCCAGGTATGCCAGTGCGACTTTGTATCCAATATAGAGTTACATTTTTCTGTTTGGAGAGGTGTTGGATTCTGTCTAGTACTTGGCTGATTAGAGGATTGGATTTTTTTTTTTTTTTTTTTTATTGCTATAAGTACAGATAGGGAGTCTGTGGAAAATAATTCGTCATGTTCATTTGTTCTTACTATATCAAGTGCTAAATTGATAGTTATTTCAGCATTGTATATTGAGACTGTGCTCACAAACTTGTTCCTTGATCTCCCCCCCCTCCCCACAAGAATAGCAGCACACCCGATCTTGCCCTTGTTTTTTTTATCCTTCTGCGTAGATCTGGAGGATTCATTTTTATGTTGAGTATTTCAGAATGATAGATAACTGGGTTGGTTTCACTTTTGGGATATCTTGTAAGATCTAATATTTTGGGTGTTTCAATCATCCATGGAGGAGTTTCTGATATGGTGGATTTGTTGACACAGGTTATGTCCATCTAGTACTTTAAGAGGAGTTCTTTCATTCATAAACTGAATGGTTTGATAGCTTTCACTTTTTTCTCAAAAAGTTCAGTGTATTGTGGGTAAAAAGTGTTATTGTAGGCCGAGTTTAGTGGACATGATGACAATTTTATGTAGTATTATTGTAAAGTAGGTTTTTGTGTCTCAATTTTAGAGAAGGTTCGTTTGCTTCTGCGTATAGGCTTTCTACAGGTTAGGTATTATATGCTCTGAGGGCTAGTCTGAGTCCTTGGTGATGTATAGTATTAAGTTCCTCAGATATGATTCCCTAGATGCTCCATATATAAAGCAGCCATAGTCCAGCTTGGTTCTTATCAGTATTCTGTACAATTTTAATAAGGTTTTCTGATTTACTTCCCAGTCAGTGTGAGATAGGACTGATCCGTTGTAGGGCATTTTTGAATTTGATTTTCAGGTTTTGAATGTGGGGTATGAATAAGAGTTTGCTATCAAATATGATAGCTCGGAACTTGTGTTGTTTCACAGTGGGTATTTCAATATTTTCTAATTTGAGTACAGGGTCATTGTGGAGTTTACAGTGTTGACAGAAGTGAATACTTTTAATTTTCGTTTTGGAGAATTTGAATATTTTCAATGGATGATTTGTTAGTTTTATTCAAGCATAATTGTAATTGTCTTTCTATTGTGTTGATATATTTTGAATGATAACAGATGAGAAAATTATCTACATATAATGAGCAATCTCTTCCAGGGTTTACTTTTTTTTTTTTAATATTGATTTTAATACTGAAAATAACCAACAAAATGCTTCCTTGTGGTACCCGCCATTTACCACATTTTGGAGTCAGAGTGTTGATCTAACTCACACTTGGAAGTTTCTATGTTTCAAGAAACTTCCTATAAATATGGGCATTCTGTCTATCAGAACTAAATCTTTCATGTCTTTCATAATGCCATGTCTCCATGTTTCACAGGATTTTTCTATATCAAAGAAAACTGCTGACATGTTCCTTTCAAATGAATGCCTCATGTATGAAAGTTTCAAGTTGTACTAAATGATCTGTAGTACTTCTATTGTTTCTAAACCCTGATTGGCACTTGGTAATCAGGTTGTTGGTCTCCAAATATCAGATTATTCTATTGTTTATCTTTTCAAATGTTTTGTTTATACAACTAGTCAGGGCTATTGGTCTGTAGTTTGAAAGTTCAGTAGATTTATCCTCAGGTTTATGATTGAGATTGTAGGATCTTTTGTGAATTTGGGCAGTGGAATCACTGGATTTTTTCCAGTGTTGGTACTTCACCATTGCACCGTACATTATTGTAGATTCCAAGTAGATACGTCATGGATATTGGTAGTAGTTGTTTCAGGAATTCATAATTTATTTCGTCTGGGCCAACTGCTGTGTTGTGTATTTTGATTAGGGCTTCTTGGAGTTCATCTATGGAATATGGTTTATTATAGTTTTCCTGTTTTTTTTTTTGATTGAAAGTTTTTTTGTTTTTTTTTCTTCACAGTATTTAAGGTTTTGAAATATCTGATTTTGGTTTTCATTAGAGTTTGGTGCAAAGTTCTCTACCAGTAGGTTTGCTATATCTTGTTGGTGGCTGTTTTATTGTTTTTGATAAGGTCTTTCAGTGGGGTACTGTATTTTTCAGATATTTTCCACATCTTCCTTACTGTTTTTACTTTTGTGTCAGTATTCATCTTATTTACAAAGTCTTTTCAAACCTTTTTTTTTTATTCTTTGTCTTGCAAAGGCTCTGAAGATTCTATAGTTATCCAGATGTTCTGCTGTTGGATTTTTATCAAATTTCCTTAAAGCAGTGGGGCATTTCTTGATAGTTTCTTTGCATTCTTGGTTAAACAAAGGTTTGTTATGCTTTGTTGCAGGTTGAAATTTTAGAATGCTTTCTTTTGCAATAGAGAGTAGTGTTTTGATAAAGAATATGATCTTCCTGATTAGAGTTTGCTTCAGGGATTAGCTGATTTTGACAGAGTTTTCTGTATTCCCCCCCCCAATCGACCTTATGAAGATTCCAATTGAGAGTTGTATCGTCATGCACTTCTTATTTAAAATCTAAGGCTAGTGTTGGAACACACATGGTAAGCTCAACGAGTATGATCCAGTTGCCGAGTGCAGTAAAAATTATTGTTTTTTAGCCACTAGTGTTCAGTGGGTGGCTGTTACTGTTCTGTCAATGAAATATTTCTAAACAAGAAAAAAAAAAAAATAATTGATTTTATTTTTACAAATATCTTTATGGTTTTACTTTTATCTACCAAAGACACTTAAAATTATACATTAAAATGATTAAAAAGTTTTTAATTTCAGTTTTAAAATGTGTATCTAAAAAAGAACAGGTGATATTCACAGATTTCGAAATATACACATTCTAAATCAAATTAAAAGCTTTTAATTATCTTTAATATTTAATTTTAGGTGTAATAGTCACTATCATTCAGTTGCTTTTTTTTTTGGAAGGAATTCGCTTCCACTGGTCAAAGAAATGAACATCTTCCTGGTTGTAGTTTAAGGTGTCTTCTAATGAGTATACAATTTCAATATTGATAAAGATCAGTGACTGATTTTGTGAAACAAAGTAACTTGTAAAATTTAGTCTCGAAAAAAAAAAAAAAAAAATCATATTTCACATTTTTGGCTGTTCGAAGCAATACCGTTTTAACACTTAACTCTCTGTAAAAAAATAATTCAATGAACAAAAGGACATACAAATTACATATCTAGAAAGATTATTTTCTTTTCTTTCGAGCCATATGAATATTTTTAAGATTTGATCAGAAATACACAGAAAATTGCGAGTTGAAAATGAATGGCTTCCTTAGAAAGCAAAAATACTAAATTAAAAACCAAAGAACCGAATCAAAAACCACAGTATCAATATAAAAAAAAATAAATAAATAAAAATCAAAAAAAAAAAATCAAGCACTGTCTAGCCAAGAAGTAAGTGCTCTTATTCCTATAATTGCAAGGGGGTTGGATTGATATTAGTATCATTCATGGAAAACACTTTCCTATTGTGCTTCTTTATAGTGTGGATTACATTATCCATAGATATAATCATAAATCTTCATTCAATATGAGATAAAGCTAGAATTACACTATCCAAATCCATATAGTGACTTAAGTGAAGTATTTTGAAGGTACAAACTGCTGCAGGAGATGTATTTTAGAGTTTAAGCCACAAAATAAGCTCCTTAATAGAATTATTTTTAAAATGTTGACAAGTATCTTTTACCTTTATCACCTGATTGATATGTGGTCAGTTAAGTTTACATCTGCAAACAGGTTACATTTATATTTGGCCAAAATGTATGTGTGGGAATGGTATATTGTAAATAATATCTAAGGATTGCTCACTACATGAAAGTCACAATTTTACAAAAGTTTTTCAGTTCTTTGCAACAACAAAAGATGAATTTTCATCAATTGATGCTCTTGTTTCCAGAAGAAAAAAAAAGAAAAACTATATAAACAGTCAAAAAGTGTGCCATTCATGGAAATGGTGGCATATCTGAGAGTTCTGGTTTATTAAGTTCAAAAGTAGAAATTTTGGTCTGGAAGACCAAGAACATTCTAGCAGGCTTACAGTCATTGATGACTAAATCAAAACCTGATTAAAAAAGACAAAGAGTATCCAGGTCACAACAATGCATCAGAGGTCTTCAAATGATCTTTCCTATTTAATTAAGTTGTATTATTTTCTGTGTATTGACAAGGAAAGCAGATTATGTTGAAAAAATATTTGTTTTTTAAAATAAGTGCATTTTTTTCATCATTAAGTTATGAAGCTATCCAGGGCTGGTGCTTATGACATTTGCTTTTTTTCTATCTACATTCATATACCTTACCAATTAAACTAAGCACAACTATTAAAGCATGAAAAATTTTAAGATTTTGACGTCATTCTGGGTTTTTTTGTTTCTTCATCAAACTCCATCAAGAAAACTATACAAAATTCACTATTTGTCATCCATAATGTTGAAGGTGTTAAATTAAAAATTGATTTAAGATTGAATGATCTATTATACGGTGGAGTAATGGATAGCGGCTCGGATTAGGGAATTGGAGAGCCGAGTTCAAATCCCAGTTGAATCTATTACATTCACTTACATAAACTTGGGAAAGGTATGAATCCTTGTATTCTTCCCCCAGCTCTGGGTAAATAGCAGGACAGACTGGGTTCTATAGCCCTGGATGGCAACTGATCAACTGTAGAAAGAAATGGCAACCTACTACGGGGAAAAAAAAACTGCCTAGTCAGTCATGTATCAAAAGATACATGATTAATTAAGTTGGACTTAATTATTTTAAAACAAGTTAATCTTATTTTATGATATTTAGTAATAAAAAGTAATTAATAATAAAAACAAAAAAAAACTTACTGCTCTTTTCATGAGATCAGGTACAAAGAGTTTGAAGTAGGGCATAAAAGCTTCCCCACCAACCATTTTGGCAACAGCAGGCAAGATTTCTCCAGCAGATTCCACTAAGAAAGCATCATACTCTGCTTCTTGGTCATCACCATCATCATCATCATCATCATCGTCATCTTGGCAAGCTGTCTGAAAAATGTCAAAAATAACCAATGATAATTTCATCAATTAAACTGTAAATTGTTCTGGTTGTTAGGGGTTGTTAAACAATTCAAATGTCAATTTTTTGCGGGTGGAGGAGGATAAAATAAATCCAAAGAAGCATCAATCCAATAAAACCAATTTCTCTAGCACAGTATTAGAAAGATTTTGTTTAAATATGTTGAAACTATGCCTCAAAAGCTCAAAGTTATGAATGCAAATGGCAGTCATACTAAAAACCATTTTATTCATTTTTGAGAGAATTTTTTTCCATTTTACACTTTTTACTATGTTCTAATTGCAACAAAATTTGATTTGTTGCATTTCTTCAGGAAAATATGATTTTAAGTTTCAACACATGTCTGCAGCAATAAACCTATCAAATTTATTAAAGAGAAACAAAACTATAAAAACTGGATGGAGAGAATCATTTTTTCTATTGTATTTACAAATACTAAAAGACTAACCTTGTGTGCAAATATATCTCTGGTTCTTGCTAAGATATCATCAAGCATACCATCTTCACACATAAATGGCTGGCCAATCTTGTCCAAAAGTTCTACTAGAGACTCAACAGCTGCAATGACGGTGGCTCGGTTATTATCCTCTTTAATACGATCAGTCAACATTGGTACAACAGTCTTGATCATACTGACCAATACTAGAATATAAAATAATTTTAATACTAACAAAATTGTTCATGCAGAAAGTATGCAGGCAAAACATTATTCTATAAAACAAGTTCTACAATTATGATTCTTTTGCTTTCACAATAGTATGTCCATACTATTGTGAAAGCAAAAGAATCCTTTTATTTTATTTTTTTAATATATTTGACTTCACTATTACCAAATCTCTTCTAGAAGGCAAGTTGTTTAAAACATCAAATTCTTTGGAGAGAGAGACACACACAGAAAACTATGAAATGTATCAAGACAAGCATTTACCTAACAATTTGATTAATAAAACTGCACTTGAACCAGACTTACCTGCATGTGACTCAAGATCATTAGTCTCTTGTGCAACTTTATAAACACTGAGACAGAACTGAGCAAGAGTAGTAACAGCAGCCTTACGAACTGGAGCCAGAGGATAAGTAAGCACTTCTAGAACTGTTTCGTAACTGTTCTGTAGATATGGCATAAACACAGTACTTAAAAGAAAAAGAAAAAATGTTTTAACTGAAAATCTGTGACATTTTGTTTGAACAAAATTTGATATTACAACTACCAATGGAAAAGCAGATGAAAATCTTTTCAGTTCTTAAACTTGATTGATTAAATGATGGCAGTAGAGATCTTTAAAGTCAAGTCACGGTAAAGCTGTATAGTATATACTTTGCCAGGGCTACATATAGTTTCGAATTTGAAGTTATGCTATTCTTCTCTTAGATTGGTTGTCAACCAAAACTGAAGAGCCCAGTCTGCTCTACAATTTAATCCATAATTGGTGGGGAGAAATGGCTGGTTGGTTGGGTTTTATGGCATATCAACCACTGTAGGTCATTTAATGCCAAATTTAGTTATATTAGGTACCTCCACGAAATTGCTAAAAAAAAGAGCATAGCTTGATGAAAAAGACGCCAACCTTTAAAAACAAAATTTTATTGTCTAAATGCTTATGTTATTATTAAGAGGAAAGACCAAAGTTTTTTTTTTTTTTTTTAATTATTTTTTAAAAATTTTCCTTCTTTTTAGAACATTCTAAATTTTGATTAAAAAAAACCTTGTTTCTATTTGTATCAGCAGAACTAGTAAATAACAGACAATTTTTAGCACGTTTTTTTGGTACAACACACATTAATTTTAAAAATTGTGCAAAAATAGAAATAATTGTCGGATGTTAATGAAACTTTCAGGAACTATTCACAGATGATCAAAATTATTATAAATATGTTTGTTTTTATTAAAGTCATGGTAGAAATATTTTTTTTAAATATTTATATTTGCATATTCAGATTTTTGTTTTTCCATATATTTTTCTTCATATATGTTAAATATATAGTACTATTAAATGTACAGCTGGCAAGGTTATTTTTTCAAAAACATTATCAGAGGCCTTGCTATTAGGCGTAGTTTATCGTCATACCCAGGACGCAGGCGTAGTTTATCGTCATAGGGGAGAAATGGATTCATACCTTTCCCCAATAGTGTTTGTGTAAAAGTGAATATAAATGAACTTGACTGGAATTCACTTGTTGATTTCTTTTGAGATGCTATCCATTACATCACCTGCACATTCAAGTTGATAAAGATCACAAAATATATATTTAATTTGTATTTTACGATCAAGTACTTCTGTTATGTATCTAGATTCTTGACAAAATCCAAAGAAGAATCTGCAATGTTATCAGTCCTGATCTGGCATCTTGGCTTCAATTACTTTCCCACAGTTGTAACAGCTTACCAGTGCCTTTTCTATAAACATTTTCATGGTAACTGTTTTGATGAGCTTTCATCTTTGGTACATCGACTTCATGAATTTAAGTGCAATACGAAAATGACAGCTAGGTCTCATCATTTTACCGTTGAAATTGCTAGATGTAAGCCATAAGTCCTATTCTAATAGTTTTTTCACTTGTGATAGTCTCACATACATGCATGCATGTATGCATGCATAATTCTTTCAGTCATAAACTTTCCAAGATATTTCATTGGCAGGTTACAAATTCTACAGGAATGAATTAATGAAAACAATACTAATGTACAGTGATTTGTTAAGCCAGTTTCTTTGCTTGCCGTTTTTTTTTGTTAGAACACTGAGAATTCAATATGTGTCATTTATCCCATATCATACCTCAGGAAGAACTCCAGACATGAAGGCGTAACAATGAAGAAAAAAAAATCTAGACACTGAATAAAGACATATGTTTAACATTTTCAGTGAGCCACCAAATGCAACAAATACCCAAAGAAGGTGAAAATGTTACCTGCTCTGAAAGCAATGCCTATTTATTTCTGCAGAAACAGAGTATGTTTTCAGTTATAAAAGACTTTCCCCATAGCCACTACTAATGGCTATCCATTTTCATCAGCAATGAACAAGAGCCTGCATGTCACAAGATAAAAATTTACGCCATTTGAGACAACCTATTTTTCAATGGTGATGATAGTGTTGTTAGAGGAAAATGTTGTCTATATAGTTCATCTTTCATTAGCTTGAATATATGAAAGTTGGAATAATCTAATCTTAATCTAGACTATACAGTGGGTGTGATATGACAATACAACCAAATTTGCAATTTGATCCATGGTCTTCAAATGGGTTGTGGCATGCTACTGGTGAAAGGTTGTCTTTTACAGTTTGAATTTAGAAATGTGAGTTTGTCATTTGATTCAGCATTGTTATGTAATGTCCTTTCTATCCCAAAAGCAGTGTACATCAAATTGTTTGAGTGGTCGTCTTGTCTGGTTTTCACATGTCTGCACATTGAGAGCGCTTCTCTCAACTGAGGAAAAAAAACAAAAAAAAAAAAAAACACTGGCATTATATAGCTCTCCTAGTCCCAGACTCATGCTGAGTATTGGCTAATACCTGCCCAGCATCAGTCACATACAAATAGTCAGTGCCACCTACTCTAAGTAGAAGGTCTTCTCTCAACAGCCCATTGTGGAAGAGGACAACTCCTGGTTCATACAAACAATTCTGAGTCTTATGGGGTGGGGGAGGCATTTCCTTCTGGTGCTCTTTTGCAAAGGAGGTACTGCGTCTTCAATGTTGTCACTTTCCATCTCCACTGCAGCAGGAGACATCAAAACTTTGGGAATCTATTTCCAACTCCCTATCACTTGTGGATGAACCATCAGTGTTGTTTGCAGCAAAGCATTGGTCCCATGCAAGTTGGAGATTTTTAACATTACTTAGCATGCCATCAATCAGGACAGATTGTGGACTAATGATCCCAGTGACCTTCCCAGTTGTAAATTTGGAGGTACATCAGTTCTGGGATGGTTTCACCCACACCATATCTCCAACTTTATAGGCTTTGTGCACTGTCCATGGTGTTAGTGCAGGTACAGCATCAATGCCCTTGAGCCTAACCTGATAAGTATGAATTGCGTTAGCTGGTGCAGTCGCATTATACCAGTAAACACCTTCTTGTACAGAGCACTGCTTCCATGTCACAATCCATTTTATGGTCCTATAGCACCGTTCTATTTTCCTGTTTCCGAACAGCACATGCGCACACTGAAAGTACAATTGGACACCCCATCCCTCCATGAAAGCCTTGAATAATCTGGTGAATGCATTATCGTTGTCCATAAGGATTTCATATGACGGACCTATCTCACAAAATATTGACTCCAACCACTGAATAACGCACTCGGAATCTTGTCGTGCTAGGGGTCACCAAACAGAGAACCATGTTAGTCCATAGTCAATCAAGGTTAGGTAATGACTGTGGCCATAGCGTGTAATATCCATCCTCAGCCTGGACTACGTAGAGCAAACCCCTAGTCTTGCATTTGGCCAGCGCACCAGTGCCAGATCTATAGACTATTCAAGGAAACTTTTGAATCACCATCTTGACAGTTTTGCTAGGTACAGAGGGATCAACTTGCCTGACAAAGTAGTGCGCTTAACATCTGGGTGACCACTATGCTTATATATTTTCATTATTTTGCATGGTCCCAACTCTCCTATGGCTGCACCACATGCCGAGAGGAGAGGACAGGTTCAGTGTCCTTCAACAAATCTAACCACCTCTGTGGAACTCTGGTAAGTTCGTCAGCTTTATTTTGGTTGGATTTTGCCAGCCTTACATTCAAGTTGAGGCCATATTCTGCAGTTAGCACCCAAAGTGTCCCCAGTCATCTCATGAGCATTTCACACACTGCCTTCATTTTCAGGCATGCCTTTCTGGTTAAGGCGTCGTTGATCTAGCAGTACATACATGCCACACTTTCATATTCCCCTTGCAGGGCCAAGTTTATGCCCTTGAATGTTGCATTGAGTTCAGCTAAGTTAACATGTTGAGCATCACCATTTTGACAAAGCCAGCATGCATCCTCCACAGTGTCTCCATTCACCAGTGGCCAGGAAACGTGCTATAGAAATTGCACTTTCATTGACGAAAATGTCATCTATGTATGCTGAAGTGACATCTTGGATTGCTTCATCCTGCAACAGTACAGTCTTGATAATTGCTTTCATTATAAGATTGAGACCAAAGCCTAATCATGTAAGGCAGTACCTCCACCTTTTCAGTAAAATGGTTCCCTTAGCTCGTCAGCACAGACATCTAGGTACTCTTCTAACTCTCTAATCGATTACAGGGCGTACCTTTTCTTTGCTCTCTTGGATAATGGCCATCAGTGGAACTAGCCCCCTCGGGTCCACGCTCCACCTCAGGATATGATATGAACCAGCCGTTATCCAACCATATGTTTAACTCCTGGTCATATTACTTATGCGCTAGCTCAGACACAGGATACTCTGCTATCTTGTTTCATAGGCTCGTTGGTGCCTGATTTTCAGTCCACTTCCATGATGCTGTCCACGTTCACTTTTTCTGATTGAACTCTACACTAAAGTCTGGTTCCTCTATGGTGATTGCATTTAGAACTTTTCCTTTAAACAGTAAATTTCCATGCCATCTTTCATGAACTCTCAGCTTGTAGTGATGATACCACATTACTAATGCTGATGTAATGCAAGAAACTGGAAACTTTCCTTGTAGTGTTTCAGCAGATCCTGACAGACTTACATTCAATCTTTTAGTTCTTCTGACACAAACTCTAATATCCCAACATTTAACTCCATACAGAGTTCTCTGGTTGTAATCTGGACAAGATGATCAAGGTGCTTTTTGTTATGCTGACAGCTGTGTAGAGCCACATGAATCTTATTTGTGTCTCACTCACAGCACTACCACAGCTTTTGAAATGCATTACCTACCACATAACTGTACTCACATACATAGTTTGGTTTCTCTAAATATTTAGCTAGAATTGGTGAATGCATCTCCTCCCACTTGACAGGAAAGAGAGATAGAGATACCAACAGCTAGATTACAAAGCACAGCTTATGACAAACACTTAAATTACCAAGTTTTCTGAATCAAGTTAACTTTGATTAAACTTACCCAATATTTGCAGCAAGTTCTCCTAAAGCACTGCAAGCATCTGCCTTTTCATCAATAAAGGAATTTTCAACTTGGATTCTTAAAAAAAAAAAATAAAAAAAAAAAAAAATAAATAAATGTGTGTGTGTGGTTTAAGCAAAAAAAAACAGTTTCGTAAATGATTTTGATGCAGTTTTCATTGAAAAGAGTAAGAGAAAATTTATTTTTATGACTAAAATGAGTGACTTATATTGTACTGTCAAAAATAAAGTAAAAATAAATAATTGTTTATATCAGCAAGCATTAGATACTATAAAATTCTTTAATCAAAGCTATTCTTTCTTAATCTATAAGTAGTTAATTTTCTTTCTTAAAGTGTATGTGTGTGTATATATATTTATATATATCTCACAGTGCAATTATAGCTTAACATTATTCAAGCAAGATTAAAACAAAAACAAATTAGTATACATACAATTTAGGATACCATATTAAGAATTTAAGCATCTAATTACAATCTAACTAAAAATGAAAAGAAATTTATGTGCACACATGTACTGAGATTACTAGACAGCAAAAAACTGGAAATGGGATAAAAATTATTTCCCTTTATCTATAAAATATTTCAAAATAAAACTACTATAGGGCTTCAATGTTCATCAACTGACTTCACTGAATTTTAAATGTAAGACAGGAGCTTTAAAAAAAAAAAAAAATTATTTTCAATGGTGGATTTCAATATTTTAAATATTTTATTCTCTAACACAAAAACTGAATTACATTTAATAAAAAATGTGGTGTGCTGTTTTAAATATAATTACTTTTGATGTAGACTAGAAAATACAAAATTTCCTTAAATTTTTCAATAAAAATCATATGAAAGGCTTTTCTATAGTAAAATCAGCAATGCATTTACAGAGAACAAGCAACTTATACTAATTACCACTTTTTAAGACTATAACAGTTCTTGTTTTCAAAAATATAACAGCATTTGCTAATTGTTTAAACATTTTGTTTTTTTTTTCCACCTAAAGTCATAGCTTTCCTTTTCAAGCTTTGTGTATACACTAATAAAACATACCCAATGTCTAAATATTTGTAATTATTTAAATGACTCAGATTTACCTGATTTGAGCTGGAAAAGCAAGCATAGTATTCTAATGCACTAACATTGGCTTACTTTAGTAGAGAAGGAAGTCATCTTGATTTGATATTCTCACTTTTCAGTAATATTCCTATGCTCAAAGGATTTTTCTTTTAGATCTAACCCTGTCTTCTTCTCTATAATGGTTTAATTTATGTTTATTTCAATAACAGTCCATTTTTGGTTCATTTTCAATTTTTTTATAAAAATGAAAATTTTAGCACATTTTAATAATTAGTGGAATAGGTTTGAAGTATTAAGCATATTGCTCACTACTGTATAAAGAAATGTGGCATAAACATCTTTGAAATAACAAAGATGATATTTACTGGTGAACACAAAGAATTTCTAATGTTCACTGAATCCTCCAGAAAATAAAAAATGCAATTCAATAAGCAATGAAATTATTTATACTTACAGAGAAGCAGAAAAGTCAAAGCACATCTTTTGATTGTAAGAGAAAAATATATCAATGGAAGAAATATGGAATTACATTTTAAAAACCTACAAGCAGCTGAAATAAATGTTTACAAGGAAAAATCATCTTAAGGATTCTGATGTATTTCTATGTAACTGTCTTATATTGATGGCAACGAGTCAAAGATAAACAGCCCATAACTTTAGACAAGTTTTTCAAACTTTTTCACGTGTGAATCCTTATAAGAATTTATTTTGCAACTCCTTACTGTTATAAAAGTAATAAAACTAGTAAAACCTTTTATCTATTTTAGTTGTAATGTTACAGTAAGAAACAGGGTGAACAAATTTATCAAATTATACAACAAAAGTTAATCTAGGTTTTATAGTTCATCAAATTACTTTAAAAAAAATATATTACTAAATCAAAATAATACTTTAAAAATTGGCATCAAGTCATTTTACAACAAACAACAGGGGCAGGACACCTTTGTGACTGGACAAAGAACTTTGCTTGCTCAGCAAGTTCATGGCTTCCCAATTTGTGAACACCAACTGTGGGAGCCAGGTTAAGATCTACAGGGTTCCCACAGATCTGTGTAAAAAAAATTCCAGGACTTTTCAAGGACTTCCCCAGGATTATATTAAGTTTCAAAGACAAACTGGTGAGCACACACAAAAAGTGAATGGACATCAATTTCAAAAACACAAATTTTGTGAGTTATCTTTTAATAGTTTGACAGATGAGATGTTCAAAAGCTACAGGTGATTCTAATAATTCATGTCTCATAGATTAGTTGAAAGCAGTGGAGAAATCCAAATGTTGAAGGTTAAAACACAATAACTGAATGCAGACCTGGTTATGCTACACATCTTGAGTAGCATTCTAAACAGTTTAGAGTTCTGCTACACCTGAAAATTTTGAATTACGCACTAATTCTGACACACATTTCAGATATCTAGATTAGTCATGGTTTGTGAATGTCACAAAATTCTTGAATGCTGTACATTTTCTGTGAAGCATAATGGTTTTAATGAACAGAACTACAAATAGAAATTTTCACAAAAAGACTACACATTTTAGCTACCCCTACTACTCATGGCTTTTGTTGCACATGGCACAGAACTCTAAATTTTAATACATTTCATTTTTTCACACAACAAAAATTAGAGATACAGGTCATTATTAGCATGCAAACTTTAAAAATAACATTTTTTCAGTCCTATCATCCCTTCATTTTCTTTGAGTCAAATTCAAACTTGTTACTTTTGGAAACAATTTAAACATAGCTTACAGATACACATTGACACGGGATGTGTAAAGTATCTACTTTTTCAGCATGAACTTGCTCACCACTGACTAGAGATCAAAAGGACTTTTTTACTTTTGAAATTGACAGGTGAATAAAATTTCAATTACTCAATTTTAAAAAACACTAAGTTTTTCAAGATTTTACTTAAAATGTATTTTATTACTGTAAAATAATTTTCCTTTCAACTTCAATGTGCGAATTAATTTATCTTTGACAGAGATGTTTACTTGTCTCTAACACCTTTCATCTTTGCTTTTCCTCTTTTGTTGAGTGAGGGTAGCAGCTAGAAGAAATGCCTTCATATTCATCTTTCTCGTCTCTCGGCATTCTAATCACGGAAACAAACCACCGTTGCAATAAATGCCAAATATTACTGACAACTTAAAAAAAAAAAAAAAAATTTCTGAAAGACAATTTTAGCTTGTAAAAAAGACTTCTGGGTATTTCACGAATTCAGAAAAGTGATGTGAGGACATTCCAATTTAGAAAATTCCAGGACTTTTCAAGGAGCTTTTGCTGTTTTTCCAGGACTTTTCAAGCCCAGGAAAAGGCCCTGTCAATTTTCCAGGTTTTTACATGGTTTCCAGGACCTGTACAAACCTGGAACTAATGCTATATACCTATTTCCTAAAGCCAGTTTGCAAATCAGCAACTTTCATTCACAAAATCTTTTTTTTTTTTTAATATAAAAGAAACTTAAATGAAAATAAATGCACCATTTATATTGTTAACATTTAAATATTAAGACACTTTCTCAAAATATTCTGCTTATTTTGTCCTACATTCCTACAAGATAGTACTAGATCATAATTTGAATGTAAAACAACTTTTGCTATCTTCAAATGTAAGCCAAAACTTAATGAGCCTAAATTATAGTTTTCTGTCAGACATTGTTTTGTATAAAGATTTTGGTTTCTGAAATATCAATCTGAATAATTATTTTTCAGAATAAAACAAGTATTTTTTTAAAATTATTTCATATGAATTTTTAAAATTTTAATGAAGAAAGGGTTTTGTTATTGTGATATTTTGTGTCATTGAGACTAAATAACAGCATCAGTTAAAATTATTTGGTTTGGTTGAAAACATTTCAGGGAAAATTTATCAATAAAATTTAAGTAATTTATTTCATTTATAGTAAAAACAATTTTAAGAAATCTAATATTTTAATGAGTAAATGCTATTAAAATCATAATTTATTGTTGTTATACATGGAGTATAGGATGTCTTTTTTTCTAACAATAGAGAGAATTAAAGTATAAGTTGTCACACAAAAACCTTCACTGACTGACAAAAATACTAAACAGGGAAACAGTTTTTTTTTTTTTTTTTATTATACACATTTAACACGGTTTAGTACAGGAGTTGGCAACCTATGGTACACGTATCATGCCATGCAATTTCCAATGGTACACAGCTGGAAAATATCACAAAGTCTGAACCAATAACTACTATGATGCAAAGATATTTTGCTGTTTCAATTTTCAAACTAGTTTCCAACCTATCATCACTACCTTATCATTGTAACTGACTACATAATCATAATGTACCTTTACCATTGCTCTGATTCGGACAAAAAAGATTTAACCCATTTCTAAGAACAATATATGAAAGTTTACACACAATTTCTCCATTTTTTCTATGAATATTTTTGTTCATTTCTGAACATGATGCATGGTTTCATTTAGAGCTTAATATGCATAACTTTAATTTTTAATTACAAAAGATTGGAGATTAATTGTTTATCCTGATTTCCTCTAAAATCTAATGCTTATTTTAAATATTAATAAATTGTATCTAAGGTTCGTTGTCAAGTTATTTGAATTATCATATGCTTGTAATTTGATTGGTCATGACATCTTACATAACAATTTTTCTCCTAGTGGGGATAATGGTTAGTTTTTAAACTCTTTATTTTACTTGCAACACTATCACTTGACAAGACACCCGAATTGTTGAAACAAAGTGTCTCTTTTTGCAGTGATGTTATCACATCCATATATTATAAATTTTTAGATAAATAATATATATATATATATATATATATATATATATATATATATATATATATATATATATAATAAATTAATTTGATTTAAAATGGTTTTTTTTTTCGCTACACAGTTCTAACCATGTTTCAAAAATGGAAGCTAAAAGCATCAATTTAATTTTGCAATTAAATTAAAGACATTAGTTCCATTTCATCCTCAAGCGAATTTTGGAGTAACTTAAAATTACTGGGTTTTAAAGACAGCTAAAATCACGTTTCCATGGTTACAGATAAATCTACTTCAACTGGACAAGGGGTGTCTGGGTTTTCCTTATGTCTGTATCATTATATCAGTTATTAGCTACATTTTGGTAAGGGGTAGGGATGTATTTTTCAATGAAAACTGACATCCGTTGAATGCATGTTGTCTAGATTTTTTTTAAATCTATCGTTAACAGCAAAAATTCTTACGGCATTTTTTCTATTTGTAAATTTAAAGATTTTCGGGGGTGTTCAGATTAGAATACTTTTTATTTAACTACGATTTGAAATATTCTCATTTTTAATTTTTATTATATTTTTTTTTATGAACAGTTAAATGTATTAGAATCCCTTATATTATGTAGGATTATTTTTACAACAAGTATAAGTATGTATATTAGGGTACATTTTTTTTTTTTTTTTTAAGTAAAATTTATGACAATGACGGCAAAAATAGTTACTTAATTTCACTGATTTAGTAAACTTTTATTTTTTATATATATAAACCTAGTAATATATTGTTTCTCATGTAAGTACAAAGGACATGGGTCATTCAAAAGCTTACATCTGGCATTTCACATTAATTTTATTTTACTATAGGTGTTTTATTGGATTCTTTTAAGTGCGTGTAGTACTAAGTTTAGGTTAGAATTCATTTTATTTAACTACAATTTTAATTACAACTTTAAAATATTTTCATTGTTAGTTTTAATAGACTATATTACTTTATAACAGAAGGAAATGTATTTGAAATTACTTATAGTAAGTAAAATTATTTTTCCATATCAAAGTATATGTATATTACGATTTTTAAACTTTTATATTTAAATATTATTTAAGTAATATTTATGGCACTTACTGCAAAAATAGCTAGTTCATTTCTCAGATTTAGTAAACTTAATTTATTTTATTTTAAATATATATAAACTAAGTAATAAAGTTTCATATGTATGTACAAAGGACATGGGTTGTTCACTGGCCTACATCATCTAGCTTTTCGTTATAATTTCATTTTTCAATAGGTGTTTTATTGGATTCATTTAAGTGCCGGTAGTACTTTTTTTTCTTTTTTTTTTTTATAGAGGTGTTTAGGTTAAAATACATTTTATTTAACTGCAA